CCTCCTCCTCCTCCTCCTCTCTCTCTCTCTCTCTCTCTCTCTCTCTTATCGTAAATCATACGAGATTCCTCGAGAATACTTGAATACACTTTCCTGGAAAGAGAGAAAGAGATTCTTGGTATTTTTGCTCCAAGGAAAATATGTTTTGTGATCGAGTATAAAGTTGATTTTCACGTTTCTTTTGAACCTCTTCTTTTATGTTTTCAATCTTTGACGGGCATTGATGTTAAAATTATTGATTATTTGATATAAACTTGCTTTATTTTAATAATATTAAGAAGAAGAATATTTAAATGTGTCAATCAGTAAAGGTTTATCTATTATATTAGAAGTGCAAATGTTATCCAATACATATTCTGATGTATTCAAAATATCACATATTCCACATATATCTTATATCGATCCTTTGCATTATAATTATTTTTATCTTAGCTTTTCTGGAAAAACATTCAATATTGTATATTCCACTATATACTATATACTTATTATTTTATATATGCATTATATTCAGTTGCCTAGAAAAAAAAAAATTATGGAACATTATCGATAAAATTCAAAATTACCATCTTCAAATTTCCATTATTATTAACGGAACGTTTCACAATTTACATTTCGCGTTTCCTAGGGTATAAAATGTATACCCTAAATTAATGTATAGGGGGGGTTAAAGGTGACTAATTAACGCGATAATGCAAGATATTACGCGCTTCCGTGAATTACGAAAGGCAAATATAGGTTGGCCGTGGAAGCACCGTTCGCCGCAAAGTCATCAAAGATTTACCACGAATCTGGCATCGGCCGTAAACCTCCACCGCCGTTACTTCTTAGCTCCACCGCTGTTTGGCCGCAGCTACACACCGGCGTGAATAACTTTGACCCCCCAAAATGGCTCGTTCGTTGCCGTACGCCGCTCCTTAAACTATGCATATTCCTCGAATAAACGTCGAGCATGCCTATGCAAATATATATTTTATATTTACCTTTTGAATTGCATAGAATTGCAAATTTTTAAATATGTTTGCATCCATTCTTATCCTTATAGAAGATATAGTATGTAATTGAGTTGTAATTTAATCGTTGTAATATTAGTAATAGTTTTTATTACTGGTGATTAATTTATTTATGGTCCAGTATCGATCAATTGTCAATTGTAATTAAAGGAATAATCGTTGAAAGGAAAAAATCAGCTTCAATAATATATTATAAATAAAAATCAGAATAACAAGAGCTGTAATAAATAAAAGAGAAAATTAATAATATTGTCTAATCTATTTAAAATGGACATTTATATCTATAACAGATTTCATATTGAAAGAACATCGTAACAATTCTATAATTCTTTTTCCTATCACAACATTACAAATAAAAAAAGAAAGAAAGAAAGAAATCGTAAAACTTATGTTATCTACTCACATGCTTCACGTAAAATCGAACGAAAAAATAAATTCCGGCCAAGACCTTCGATCCGTTACGATTCACGGATCTCCGCCAGTCCTTGAGCACCGCTACAGTTAGCACAGCCTCCCTCTGCAAGAAGAAAAGGCGCGGTGGAAAATGAAGGCGTAGAAAGGCGTTCGAAGGAAGGGGCCATGCGATTCACGAAGGAAGGGAACACATCGTAGCCTTCTCAGTCGGTGAAGCTCCGCGAGCCACGGCACACCTGGCCATCGACGCGTGAACGTGTGTTACGTTTTGCCAGTGGCCGGCCAAACGGTGAAAAATCGAGAGGAAATCGCGTTCTCGAGGCCCAGAGTTTCTTCTTAATTTCCACGTAATTTCCGTGTAATTTATTCATTCTTTTTATTTTGGAAAAGTGCATTATCTTGAGAAAGGAAATATTTTTTTCTGGTCTCTTTTATTCCTTTTTTTGCATTCAGCAGAAATATTTTGGTAACATATAGTAGTATATGATATGTGTAAATAACGTATGAATAAAAAGTGAAAATATAAACGAGATATGATTGAGAATATTAATTCTCTAATAGTCTTTAATTTTTTATATCTTGAAATTTTGTTGTATTGATATTACGAAATTAAATAAGGAAAATTGTAAGAGTAGCGGAAAAATCATAAAATCGAAATCTCTTCGAAAATTTCGGAATTAGGATAAAAATTTGTATCGAAATGCTTCGTTGTTAGTACTGATCTTAACATCGTGAAATCGAATCTTGTAATGAACACGTAGGCAGCAGTGTTTGACTGTAATCAAAGGTCTCATCGTCAAGGTTAACTAACCACTCGTTTCAGTGCAACGTGATGGAACGTTTGGACGGTGGTTGTCACTTCCGGTTTAGGAAGATTCGTACAACTTCTCGTTTAGGGATTTTAGTTTGCTGCGTGGGCGATGGAGGGTGATACTTGGAAATGATCCTTGACGTGGGTGGAATCGTGGAACCGTATAACTCTTGAGCTTTAAATTTTGCATATCTATATGTATGTACAGTAACCTTCAAAAGTTGTGTGATTCAAAGATCGTAAGTTGTTTGTTTGGAAAGATTTATCTAGAAATTCCTTAGGGATTTTGATTTTTCACTTCATAAAAATGATGGAGAATAATTCTTGTGTTTGGAGCTGCAACAAAAGTTTTGAATTTCACTTTTAAATTTGATTAGGATTGAAAATAGTAAAAATTATTTCATAGTAATAATTTTTTAAAGGATTTTTAAAAGTGAATTTCGAATTTCATAGTGATTCCCAAAAATCCTAGATATTCTTCAGATCGCAATTTTTAAATTCAAGTCATATTCAATTCAAGTATATATAAAGTTATATTCAGAAATTCTTCATATTTTAATTTGGATTTGAAAAAAAAACACGATGAATAAAAGATTTTCAAAATGTCATTGAACAGGTGTCGAGATACAGCTTAATGACTATTGACCGACTTTCGCATTATAGTGCTTTCAGTATTTGTATCTAACACACCCAGATCTAGAATATATCTATTTTGTTTAATGTCTAACAGTAAACCGATCAGTTTGCAATCGCTTGGGGATATTACCTAATCGCCAGGGTACAGCTGGATGACAGCCGTCTGGTTGAATACAGTATCCACTTCCAGCGATTGTATGCCAGTCCTTTAGAAGTCAACCGGGAATGTACGTACAGTACTGTTCAAAAGTTTCGACCGTGCATTATTATTTTCTGTCTTCCATATTCTTTACTCTTTGTATAAAATTTTGTTATTATGATCGAAAATTAATGTACAAGTGTTCAAAAATATATGAGGATTCTTTCATAAAAGAAAATTATTACACAGAAAATTTAAAAATAGTTGAATAAAAATTTTTGCAATCTCTTAGACAATGAAAATTTTTCTTTGAAAAATGGATTATGAATACTTTGAATTCTTTAAAATTTATTCCAGGATCGATCAATAATCCCAACTTTTGAATCGAAATATCCATTCGATGTTTCGTTTTTTAATTCCTTTTTTAAGTTGAATCTATTTTTGGTATAAATTCTTCAAAGGTAAACCTAACCTCAATCTGTAGTTGACAAGTCAGAAGATTCTACTTTGTGGTACAGCAATGTTCTCGGCTTTCGGACTTTGATATCGCTTTGTGTCCTCAGTATATTAACGTATGTTGCCGTTTGTTCGAGTTAGCAATGGTGAAATTTAGGTTTGTCTTCGTGCTTGATGCCAGATTTCTTCGAAACAAAAGATATTGTTTCGAAATTGACTCTACTGACTTTACTCTTGGATCAGAGTTGAGAGATCAGGGTCTCTCAACTTTCTTTTGAGTTATACTCTTTTTTAATATCTCAAAGATTGTTGTAGCTTCTATCAACATATTGATTTATCAAGTTTTCAAAAAATATAACTTGTATTATTGTATTAATATTCAATTAATCAAATTACTTATATATAAAGAATTTTGATATTATTTAACTTTGACTTCAATAATTTTTAAGCTGTATCCATTGTCATACTTTATATTGTTTTTATCTATATCTAATCAGTCAAATTGCTCAAATAGTTCTTATACGTTTATACGTTCAAAATTCTTAATATCATTTAAATTTTAATTTTAGTACTAACTTCTAAACATTCGTAACTTCTAAACAATCTATCAATTATCATTGTTTCTACTTATGCTTCATATTACAATATTATCGTTTAGGTGAAGTCATCTATTGAATTTCTTTGAGCGATAGCAAAGTGAGATCATTGTTTGTCAAAAGAAAAGAACTTTGTTGTCAATGGCTTCCTGTTAATCTATTCATTGATTTGTTGCACGATTATCGGTATGTGTTAATATACATCGATAATTGGCCTTAACAAACGTTTTATCACTCGTTAAATTATTCAACCGTTCATTCCTTGTTTGTTTTAATTGCTATTAAATTGCTTTCGAATTTTACAGTAAGGCCATCCACAAAGTATCGTTACAGTTATCGATATGAAATATTGATTCATCGCTGTTGATGATAGAATCGGCTAACGCGTACCAACAGTGTTTTCTATGTTTACGACATTTGTTCACGCATGGCTAGTCATAGATTTTGATAAGATTAGCGGAATAAAAATTAAAGAAATTTTTCCATAGATAGAAAAAACCTAAAAATAAATTTCTAATAGATTCAAAAATAATTCCAGAGGATTGTCAATCGATTCGATTTTCAGAGACTATTGATAAGAAATAATATAAATTTCAAACCTCAATTTTTAGAATTATTGAAAATATTTTCCGAAATGTTCGATACATTCCAGTACCAAAATTAAATCGAATCTTCCAATTTTTAGAAAATTTTCACTTTTCAGAAATTCCCCAATATCAAAGCTATAAAAAATTCTTAATAATTTCACACTGATTTAACATCAAAGGCATCGACAAAATTCTCAGAAGCATTTCCAATATTAAATCCAATCCAAACCTAAAATCATAAAATTATCAAAAAAAATTCTTAAAATTAGAAATTTGATATAGATCTATATGAACTTTATATTTAACACCAGAATTATCAAACCAATCGAATCGAATCAAATTGATTTCAGATTTTGTCTTTTTGCAATTATTGAAATTGTGTAAATACTTTCAATAAAATCAATATTGGTTTTTAACAAGACAGAAATATAAAATTACATATGTTAATGTATTTAGAAGACACTTTTGGAGAGTCAATTCTAATACAAACATAAAAGTTAAATATATACTTATAACTTAATAAATAAGTCCCTTTTCTTATTCTTTTTTTAATCTCTGAAATAGATCCTTCAAAGAGAATTTTCTACAAATATATTGACACTTAATTTTATTTTAATCTTAATTATCTATATCTTATCTACAATATATACCTAGATATATTACCATATATTAGATATTATAGATTCGTAATTCTAGCGTTAAAATTCGAAACTTACACAGGTACAAGATATATCGTGGCAAAATCCAGCACGCAAAAATCCTCGTGCTGACACGGTGATCTCGAGGATCGATGGGGAGTGGACGGTCGGGTATAACTTATTGAAAACGGTTGATCGCACCTGACGCCTTTGCCCAGCTTTCATCTCGACCACTTACTCTGGAAACGTAGCTCGTGGAACACGGTGCCTCGTGTTTCACGAGAGACATATTGCCGGATCATCAATCCTGGCCACGTTGGAAATTTTATATCATGCCACTGGGATGCTGTATTTTGTTTGACGTATTCCGAGCAGTTTCTTATTTACTTTTCCCTCTCTATGGAATATTTTCCTGAATTTTTTTTAACTCTCGAGCCACCTAAAAAATAACAGTTGATAAAGGAAATTTCGAAGATTATTTTTGAGTTTTATTATTCAATTGTAGCCAGAATAGATTCCATTTCGTTGAATTTTCTTAACTGTTTTGATGTCAATTTTTTAAATACAAGAGAAATTATGGTTTAAGTTGGTGTTTTCAAGAGATTTTATTATTTGGATCTCGTGGACGCGACAAACTTGCAAAACGGATGATTTTCCACGTGAGAGAATAGTCTAGTGAAGTATCTGTCACGTAAAGAAAATCAAAATTTACGGTTATTGGAGTAGAGATATGGGCCGGAGGAAGTGGTTTACTATCCAAGATCTGAGCGCATACTTAAAAATAGCGCGCGGAAGTAATAAAAGGAAACATTATTAGAATCACTCGTTAGTAAGGAGCATTAAATTTCAAGTATAAATTCTCCCATAAAATCTTTGAACAATAAACTCTTTTAAGAATCGTAAACACCTTGCCGCAGATTTAATTTTTCTTACTTTTAACTTTTTCCTAAAGAAAATTGATTCGTACAAAAACAGCGAACTTAACAACTTCAAATTCCTCCGTGATATGAATCCAATTCAACTTGAGCCTCGTTATCCAAATTACCCGGTGTGAACTTGTAAATTTGTAGTCGCAATCTCGATTCGATTTCAATCATGATCCATAATCAAACTGGCAACGCGAAGGGGCGGCCCTCTCGGCGACTTCCTCTCGAAGAAAGCCCCCGAATCTATCGAGCGTGTCCTCGACTGAAAGCCCTTAATCTTGGCCAACCAGGTAAACGGAAACTAGCGTGGCCTATTACTCACAGATGTATTATTAACCACTTGCCTGGCTGCAACGTTGCTACGTGCATTTGCATAATACAGTAGAGACAGTGGAGAACGCGAGTTGCAGTTCAACAGCCTCGTACGAACCGATATCTAATCTACCTGTGGTTAGGCGAAAAACACGTTCCAAGATACGAGATTTTCTTGAACAGATGTCGACAAAGAGAATGACAAAAGAAATAGTTTGCTGAGATAACGAATTCTTGATTTCGATTGGAAATCGAAAGTGGTTAAATTTTAGAGAAAATTAATTTAGAGACGATGAATTATAATAAGTTGAATTGTATTTGCGTTGACGAGGGCTTTGAAGAAATCTTTAAATACTGAAAAAGAAAAAAAAAATTTTTTTCAATGTCTAGCTTGATATAATTTTGATTATTTTAAGTTTATCTTTTTTATTAATATTTTCTTACAATTGTTAAATTTTAAAAAAATCCATTTTCAACTCTCATCATAATGATCTCACTTCGCTTTTCTTTTTTTGGATTTTAATTACCTTATTTTCTTCCTCTCAAAATATTGGACACATCAATATTTAATGTTCCAATCGAAACTCGATTCCCATGACACTCGTCATATCTTGATCATCGATCACGCGTATCAGTTCTATTAAAATGATTGCACGTTGGTCATCGTGCATAGCTGGCGCGCGTGTTCGCGCGCGGAACACATGGGACAGGAGTTATTCGAGAGGCGCAGCTGACTCGACTACAAATATCGTCGCCGGTGTTGCAGAAACTCGATATGAACGGTGCTGCTTCGCCCTTGTGCCAATAAACCGTATTGCAGCTCGTATCTCGGCAGCCGAGCTATTAGCCCGTTGAATCCTAATGCCGATTCCGATTATTGCGATCTACCAATTGACTGAGCGCAACTCACATTTGAATCTTTAACTTGGTTTTCAAGTATCTGGCATCTCAAGCTGCTGGTAGCTTTATCACAATGAGACTTCTGAGACTTCTTCATCCTGTGGATTGAAATCGTTAAGAGAAAATATATACTTGGTTTATGAGATAGATCTTTTAAAGTGAAGAGAAGATAGAAAATCGAAGAATTGTGAATTTGGAATTCGCAGTACGGTTCTTTGATTTAATATTTGGAAGTTATAATTGTATCTCTTATTTTTTTTTTTAATACCTACTACAACGTATTATTTTTCACTCAAATAAAAAGTAGGAAAGTAATTCAAATTTTTATTGAAGTTTCTTTAAGAAATTATGCCACGTTATTTTTATTTATTAAAAAATGTAATATATTTTTAATATTTTAGTATAATTTTCTTAACAAATTATACTTTATTGTTCAAATTTCACGTTTTTCTTATCATCCTTCCTTAATTTCATCTTCTTTCCAATAAACAACTTATTTTTAATCAAATCTGGGCCTCGAAACCACGATTATCTTACACAAAATTGAACATTTCAATTGGCTTTTTAAAAGAAAAAAAAAAATTTCATCTCACCAGATTCGAATTAATCCAATTAAATGAATTCATCTCGAAGACATCGATCACGATTTTCGCTTGCTTGAAGATGAAACGTTGGCCTTCCTCTAAGCAGAAATGATTCGCTTAAGTGAACAGAAATGCGGTGTTATCCTGCTTCGCGAGATTTCTGACGCATCCACCAACTAAAATCCACGGTTTGGATTACATCTTGCAAGGGAAGAGAGAGGCGGAATCGGTCTGCTATTTTCAGAGGAAATTGTGGTTACGTGAATGCCGTTTGGATTACGGAGGAGCGTCCAACCGATGCCTGATTTCGGGAATCAGCACGAGCCAGACCCAGAGGATCGTTTGAGCGAGCCTCAGGCATGAAGGAACGCGAGATGAAACTCTTTGGTTGCCGATGGTCCTTTTGGAATTTCGCGACTAATCTCGCAGGTTCGTAAATGCAGATATTATTGAATAAACTAAAAGGCAAGATTCTAATTGTCTAGTGATGAGTTTGAACGTGAATTGAAATGTGAATAGATTTAAATGAAATTTAATATAAAAGATTCATTTTATGGTAAAAGTTGAATAACATCTCAAACTTGGAATGGAATTTCATGTTGAAATTTGAACATCAAGTTTTTGTATTTTGTTGAATACAAGAAAAGATGACCAATTAAAAAAAAATCTAAAAGTTAAAATAAAGATATTAATAAGTTTCATAATGTATTAAAAAAAATGATTGATAGAGATTACTTACACCGTAAATCATAGTTATTCTAACTACTATATGATTAAAATATTATTATAAATATACAAAACATAATAGATCCAAAGAGAGATTGTATCATGAAATAATAAATTTATTTAATAGAAATTTATTTAATCCTGATATGCTTCATTCTCTATATTATTAGATTTATTTTACTGAACAGAGATAGCTGAAAGTATAATAAATGATGAGTTTCTCAACAACAATTTATCAAGCTTCACTTCTACTAGCATAATGTATAATATGTCAACCTTCTTACCAGGCAAATTTAATATTCCCCGAATATCTCGTCTTTTGTACTCGCATTGATCACGAGATCCTTCACCATGCCTATATAATTTCCTCTCTCCTTCTTGATCCCCTAATTTCCTCTAATCCGCTCAAATTTCCTCTCATATATCTATATCACCACTCGTTCACCCTAATTCCTCGCAATTGACCGCGAAAAGTTGGACGAATCCTTTTACAAGATTTTATTTTGGCCTCGTTCAATTTTAACCTAGCATTTCATCAAATTTCATAATGAACATAATCAATCTTTCTCTTTTTATTTCTCTTCAGAGATAATCTATTCATTAAACTGATTATTCCAAATCATTGATTATACTATATCTTTTTTTGATTTTTCTCTTCTAGATTTTTCTTCGCATAAAAGAAAATTTGTTATTTTCGATTACTGTTCGATCATTAGTTGAAACATGTAAATAAATGAATCCTATGAGACAAGATTGCATATTATTTTCATATGATTAGATTCCTATTTTTCTTTTTCATTTTCATTTCTTATTGATAATCATTAAATATTGCTAGTTAGCAACCTAACCTATCACAACTGTATTCTAAATCTATCACTTATTCAATAACATAACACTTGAAAAATTTGAATCCGTCATTTGTTGCATTTCTTGCAGAAAAATAATTTACATACAATTTTATAATCTTATATCACTACAACGATAAAATTATTAATCAGCCGTCTATATTCTCTACTTAGTAGGCTTTCGATTTTCTGTTATGTCGATAACTGCAAAAAATGAGATCTTCTTTTCCAACGTTGTATGCAACATGAATTTGGCAACAATATATACAATCGTGATCGATGTAGCTTCAATAAATAAGATATATATTACAAAGATTAAAAGAGAAAAGAATTTTTAATTTATTCAATTGTTTTTCTACCAGTTTGAAGTATTACATCGCCTTCGAAAAATCGTTGATCGAGAGAACAAAGTAATATTCGTATAATTTAAGGATGAAGTTAAGAACGGAATTAAAGGACGGAAGTTCCACAAATATGTCTGAATACCGATTGCAGACGATCATCTTTGATCGTGCATTCTTTTTGCGCGTTCCATCGTCTGTTTATTTATTAACCTTGGCTCTGATGAAGGCTTACTTTCCAGTTTCCTCTTCCGCGTGCAACGAGGAAGAGGATGTCTCTGGCGTAGAAATACGGATGTCGAGGCGCAAGAAATATATTAAATTGGCAGATATAGTATAATTTATAATGATATTACAGTGATTAAAATTTAATAGAAATTTCCTCAATTTAAAGAACGATATATTTTATCAGATTATCATTTTGATTCCTTTCAAATTTTTTAAACCAAAACCAAACGAGATATTCAAGGTAATCAAATTATTTTCTTCGTTGTACTTCCATTTCCTCGAATCGTTCATTACCTTACATAAATGGAGAAAGTCAGTTCTCAAGAAAGACTGTTTCGTTGGAGAAAAGGTATTTCATTTATATCTTTGATATACACGTTTTAATTGGTATTAGTGAAAATTAATTAATCGTCCATGAAACGTTCCACTCTTTTCACTGTGATAAAGAATATTAACGAAACATTCCTCCTTTTATCCAGAGAATATTCATCTTTTCTTTAGTACATGAAAATTTACAACTCCCTCTGAAATGAAAGGAATCCCTTTCGATACGATATTTCGCGAGAAACGAGATGAAATTCTGAATACCACGGAAACCCGTCGTATTCACTCGATTCTCAGTTTTTAAGACGTCTGAGAGAGATACTCCGAGTTACATTCGGCTTTACATTCATATTTAGAAGAGAACTTGTGAGGATATTTCATCTGCACGTTATTCGCGACACGTTCAGCCGAGGAGAGGGGCATTACGAATCACGACGGCTTCCTTATTGAATATCCGAGTTCGACGACGCTGATGCCGCGTGATAGGCGTTCCTTATTCGCTTCTGGAACTTCCTGGAACAGATATCTTCTATAACGCTATACAAAAGTCTTAGATTGGATGAATCAAAATATTTTGTTTGCATGAATGATGCTTGATATTCTTGGTAACATATTTTTATCAAAATAAAATTTAGGTTAGGTTACTATATTTATTGTTGTTTAGATTTTGATATTATTGTTCCCGATATTATTATTTATCTCGATGTTTTAATTATGTGAAAAAAATACCATCCTAATTGTAAGTATATCAAATGAAGATTGAAGTTATGTTATTATATTTGTTTATTAATATATCATTATTTATTTCATCATTTTTGATAATTCTTTTATTAATTCACAAATAAATTTAAAAGATAAATTGCGTTAAATAAACAATTTTTCTTTTCCAGATCGAAATATCCTCTTACTTAAACATGTAGATACATCCATTTATCGGAAACGAGAGGAAATCTTGTTCTAATTTAATGATACATATCCTTCAAACGATATATATCATTTTTTCTTTTCTTTTCCATTGATCAGAGAAAAGTTGGCTGCTCTAGAAGTTTCATATGAAACCGCGAGGCCGCGGTTGTTCCATTTGCTTTCATCTTGAACTACTTCTTCGCCTTGATATTCCGGTAAAAAGTTGTTTGCGTCAAAGTTGCTTGCTTTTTTCCACTCTCTCTCTCTCTCTCTCT